TATATATAATTTGAAGGGGCAGATTGTGGCTGTGCTACCACTACAGGTGCTGCACAGAAATTTCAGGCAAAATGTTCCTCACTTGCAGAAAGGAAACAAGCAACCTTGTTCTTTTCCTTTCTTCTACACTGTGCATGAATAGCCTGAGTGATACTTGTGTCCAGTAAGCAAGCCCATTGAACATATGAAGGGGCAATGTCTGCACAAATGGGAAGCATATCTGACAATGGAGCCCTTCTTTGTGTGTTTCTCTAATTTATTTTTTTGGTACCAGGGATTGAACACAGGACCCTGCACTTGCCAGGCAAGCACTTATTCTGCTGAGCTATCTCCACTGGCCATGTTATTATAATTTTTCTCAGTGAATTTCTTTACTGTGTAGAAAAATACTGTTAATTTTTGGGTATTAATTCTGTATCCTGCTATGTTACTGGATATTTGTATTAATTCTAGGAGCTTGTTGGTGGAATTTTTGAGTCTCCTGAAATGAGTATATTATCATCTGCAAATAATGATAGCTTAATTCTTTCTAATTATTTTTATTTCTTTGTTTCTTTGTTTTGGCTAATAGGTCTAGATAATATTTCCTGAACAATATTAAATAGAAGCAGTGATACAGGATATCCTGGTCTTGCACCTTATTTGACAGAAAAAGGATTCATTTCTTTTCTCCATTTGGAATTATTATGGCTGTTGATTTTATCATGGATAGCTTTGATCAGATTGAGGTACAAGTCATCTATTCGAGTTTTCAGTAGGGCTTTCATTATGTATGAGTGGTGGACATTATGAAAAGCTTTACTGTGTCTATTGAGAAAATCAGGTGATTTTAGTTTTGGATGTATTAGTGTAGTGTACTACATTCATAGATTTGCATATGTTAAAACATTCTTACAAATTGCTGTACAGAAATAATGCAATCCCTAACAAAGAACCACCAGCATACCTCACAGAGCTAGAGAAATGATTCCTAAAATTTATTTGGAACCAGAAAAGACATAGAATGCCAAAGGCAATCCTGGGTAATAAAGAAAAGGCAGGAGGCATTACAATTCCTGACTTGAAATTATACTACAAGCCTACTGTGATAAAATCAGCATGGTACTGGCAACAAAATAGACCTGAAGATCAATGGAATAAATTAGAAGACGCTGAAGCCCCTACAAACACATTCAGCCACCTCATCTTTGACAAAGGGGTCAAACTTACTCACTGGAAGAAAGAAAGCCTCTTTAACAAATGGTGCTGGAAGAACAGGCTCTCTACATGTCAAAAACTAAAACTAGACCCAGGTCTATCACCATGCACTAAGCTAAAGTCAAAATGGATTAAAGATAAAAACATGAAAACAGAAACACTAAATCTCCTGGAAGAGAAAGTAGGAGGAACTCTTGAAGACATAGGGGTAGGAAAAGAGTTCATGAACAAAAATCAAATTGAAAGGGAAACACTTGAAAGAATTAACAACTGGGACCTGCTCTTACTGAGAAGTTATTTCTCATTGAAGAAAATTACCAATAAATTTGGAAAAAATATGACAAATAAGTATTCAGACAAAGGTCTGCTCTCCAGAATTTATAAAGAACTAAAAATACTAGAGTCCCAAAATTTAAAGACCCAGTTCAGAAATGGGCATCTGAGATGAGCATACTTCTCAGAGGATGAAATTAAAGAAGCGAATAAATATAGGAAAAATGCTACACTTTAGGAGCCATCTGTGAATTGCAGATGAAAACAACATTAAGATACTATCTCACATACATTGAAGTTGGAAAGGCAGCCTAAGGTGCTCCTGTGTATCCCTTAGCCATCTTCCCTATTGTTAACTTTTTATATGACCATGATACGTGTATCAAAAATAGGGAATCGATATTGGTGTACCACTAATTATAATCACCAGGGTTATTTGTATTTCACCCAATTTACCCATAAAGTACTTCCTGTTTGATTCAATTTTATTGATTCCAACCCCATGTTAAAATATTCCATGTTCTTCTTTGTCTTGCACATAGTAATAACAGTTATTTAATAGCAAAAAAAAAAGATACTATCTCACGCCAGAAACAATGGCTATCATAAAGAAATCAAGAAACAACAAATGTTGGAGAGGCTGTGGGGAAAAAGGAACACTTCTCCACTGCTAGTGGGAATGTAGACTTGGGAAACCATTACGGATATCAGTGTGGGGACACCTTAGAAAACTTGGAATGGATTGGGGCTGGAGAGATGGCTCAGTGGTCTAAAGCACCTACTTGAAACAAGCTTGGCAAAGCACAGGGACCGCGGTTCGATCCCCCAGCACCACATGCCAGCCAGACCCGCCCCCTGGTGGGCTGAGCTGGCCACACACACACACAATAAATAAATGTAATAAATAAATATAAATAAATATAAAAAAAAGAAAACTTGGAATGGAAATCCCATTTAAGTAAGCTATTCCTGTCCTGGAAATTTTCCCGGAGGATCACAGAACATCATATAATAGTGATATATGTGTGCCTATGTTTATAGCAGCACAATTTGTGATAGCCAAATCTTGGAAACAACCAACATGCCCATCAGTTAAGGAATGGATATAAAGATGTGATATTTTTATACAATGGAGTATTACTCAGCTATAAAGAATGATAAATTCAAAGACTTTATGTTGAAGTGTATGCCACTTGAAGATATAGTCATAAGTGAAATAAACTAGACATACATGTGTAAATATCATATGGTTTTCCTAGTATAAGAACTCAAAAGAAGAAATACAAATAGAAAGATATAATACAAGTAAAAGGAAAGCAAGAAGTCAAGGACTAATTAATTAGGAGAGGGACCGGAGAAGAGCTAGGAAACATGACAGTGACAAGACATACAGTTATATGTAGAAGATGGGCGAGGCAATGATCCTGAGATCTCCAGAAGACTTTTGAATCTAGCAGTTAATTGGAAAGATTCTCACCCTGAGTAATTATATATACTGACACCTGTGAACTAAGCAACTGCACTGAAGATGGCAATTTGTAATAGTAGGTTCATGCTTGGATTGCCCGTCATTCTGGTCTTCTGAATACTGGATCCTTGTCATGGCATGCCAGTTGCTGCTGTGCTGTCTGTTGGGTAGATGATTGTTCAAAAAGAAGGGGATGGTGAATGAAGGCAGGAGGCAGGAAAAAGAATGTTGTGGGACTGTCTTGCTTCAAGGTTGTATATGGTTAGGTTTTTGGACTTATGTGTAAACATAAGAATTGTATAATTCTTTATGCCTATTTTTAAAATATATTCTAATTTTAAGTGTCTTTTCACCATATTCTGTAGGGACTTAAAGTTCAACATATCAATGCTTGATGAAAAATACCTGTTCCATGTTACGCATAAGATATTTGATATTCAGATTGATAGTGAGGTTATGCTTAGCAGCCTAGGTTGTATGGTAATAACAATAAACTTCTCTTCTGGAAGGCTAACAATCTAAGTATGCTGATCAAAATTAGAGAAAAAGAAGGTCCACAAGGAAAGCCAACATATGGCCCTAGCCTACCAAGGTCAATTAAGACTCAGGACATATGAGAACTTGTACTGTAATGTCACGTATCTCAGTAGTGTGCCAAATTTTCTGATGAAGGAGATTATGGGGCCAAAGAGGAAAGTGATCGATGATGTAGAGTGTGCCTAAGGAGAGTCACATAGAGAGAAAACATTCTCTCAGGCTTTCACAGAGAGCACATTGGCCAAGCAATGGCCGTAACTCCTCCACATGGCTGACACTGAAAAAGGATGAACAGTCTGAGGTATAGGATCTCAGGATAAATCCTGAGAGGATTTCACTGACCTTATCAGACCCAAAAGCTACAACTCTTGTTGCATAGGTCTTGCTTTATGTTGGTCTTAACCATCCAGCAGAAAAGTATAAAAAAGAAATATAAGAATTAAAGCCATGACGTTCTGTTGAGTTGCCTGGGACTCAGGTCAGCTGTTTCTGACATTGTCAGTGAAGTGAAAAACCCAACGCTATTATGGACTACTGGACTCTTTTAGAATATTTTGCTGAGTTAACACACCTATAATGTTCAAATAATGGAACTAAACAAAAAAAGGGTATACTGATGAATGTCCATTTTGTATCTCTGTATACAAAATGGTTAGAATAGATATATAGTTACATTCTCTTAATGAATAAAGGGATATGTTTTAATAGAGTTTGCAAATAGGATATCATGTCTGCATCTTGTACAGCAATTAACCACCAGGAAGAATGTACTCAAGGTGTTAATTATTGAAACTGTCCTACCCATTTTGTTTGAAACCATCTCATTGCTATTTGTTTCTCAATAAAATTATGGGAAAAAAAGAAAATTGGGTAGTTAAGTGTCTTCATAACTTTGAGAATGTCATAAGTATATTGCACTATAGAGATGTAAAGTATATATTTTAATATCAACACGCGCATGCATACACATACACACACTGAAACACTAACACCTATATACCATATATCTGGAAAATTATGCATTTATGCTGAAACAATTCATTCCAGTCTGGGCTTGAAAGAGTTCTTCACAGTTGTCTCATTCTCTGAATCAGCGAATTTGCCAATCAGTGAGAACACTGGCTTCTCTTATCCTTGGCATAATTAATTTTGGATCAGGTTTTGTTCACATAGCCACCAACCAACCAGGTAATCTCAGTGATGCATTCCTCACCAAATCAGGGTTATTTTGACTTATCAGAGAATGGCTATTGTTGCCTGGCACCTCCCTATTTATACCTCCCTCACATCACTTGGGCTCCCACAAGCAGCTCAGGTAGCCCCTTACATGGTTAGCTTCTCTGTACTGCTTAGTCTGACTTCGAGCAAACATGACTCCCTCCCATAGGCCAGTTTGCAATCTCATTTCTGTTACATGTCTAATGATTTTAAAATTAAATTTTGAAAGCTGACAAGAAGGAAAGAAGAAAGAAAGAAAAAAAGAGAAAGAAAGAAAGAAGAAAGAAAGAAAGAAAGAAAGAAAGAAAGAAAGAAAGAAAGAAAGAAAGAAAAGAACACATGATCAATTTGATTTAGACTTCTTTCCAAATGAATTGACCAATAGCTCATCTTTATTTCATTGTTCATTCCAAGGAGGCATAGATGTGGAAGGAATGTGAAATAGTAATGGCATCTTTCTGGACATCTAGTAGCATGTTTAGAAATGTTAATAAATGAAAACAAGGAACAGATATCATACATGTATCATGGAGCTTCACAAAAATATTTAAAATATAATTAAACTGTGAATGTACTTTGCAAACAATAAACTCAAAACTTATTAAATCTCATGTCTCCTAGTAATCAAAATGGAATTTATGACAGGTCAACATAATCAGTGACTGTATTATAAAATAGGTTATGTAAATGTGACAGAAACTTTATTATTCTAACATCATTAGAGTTTTTGATGAAATTATGCAGAACTCTTTAATCAGCCCTTTAAACTCTGGGGTGAATGGTATCATCTCACGAGAATCAGAGAAGCTGAATCTGACTATCTGACACTAACTCAGTCATTTTCTTTACATTATACAGCAGATAATATGTGAAAATGAGCAAACCCCATGCATGTACTAAACTAATCATTCCAAAGTCATGGACTGATTAATTTTACTTAATTTTATTCAAAAGAAATTAAAGCAGTGTTCTGCAAGACAGCAGGTTCAGGAACACAGCTGAAGTCACGAGGGGAAGTGAGGATCCACTTTAGCTTCCATCTCTTGACACAATCTTCAGAACGATTGGTTTTTTTGGTTGTAGCAAATTTTTTCTTCCTAGCTTCAAGGGGATCTGGGAGAGTAAAAGAATTGGCCAGTGACTTCAAAATTCAGAGGAGAAAAACATAAATGAAATAATGACAGTGATGCTTAAAGCATAAAGTGTTGTAGCATCACATATCTTGAATCACTTAGTTTCTAAGCTGAGTCCAAATGGGATAGTGAAAGCTTTCATCGAAACATTCACTTAAAACTAAACAAGTATTCATTCTCTCCAGGGCACAAGACAATTTTTTTTTTTTTTTTGCAAAACCAGGCATTTGAACTCAGATCTTTGTGCTTGCCAGGCAAGCGCTTATTCTACTGAGCCATTTTCCGGCCACAAGACAAAATTCTTTACCTAGTTTTCATTTTCTTTTTTGCAAATTTTAAAACTTTAAAATTAAAGTAGATACCTAGATATTAGGGAATTTTTTTTCTTTTTTCTCTTTTCTTTTTCTTTTTTTTTTTAATCTGTATTTAGTGCAAGGTCTACAGAGTCACACGACACAGATCGAACTAGTAGTGATTCTCTTGTTTTTAGCTTTCAAAGTACTGGAATTACAGGCACATGCCAAAACACCCTATCTTAGTTGCTCTCACAGCTGGCCCAGTGGCGGAGCTGGCATGACAGGCCTGGGAATTGAACCTCAGACCCCTGCGTCTAAATCAGGCACTTTCATCCTCTGAGCTATCTGGATGCCCCAAAATTATTCTTTAAGGACACAAAATGTTGCCTTTTTATTTTTTTGAAACTTGCCAGATAATCCTGAATTGACATTATACATTTTTACTATATAGGACTCCTACAAAGAGACTTGGAAGCGATCACAATTGAATCCATTCTTTTATTGTTGGAGACACGATTTAAGTGAGAATTATGTCTTTGAATCCTTATATCTCTCCCTTCATTTCTAAAATAAGTGCAACTGGGAAGCTTTTGAGTTCTATAGTGATCTCTCTGAGCTTTTCTTTCCATTCTCTCCCAATCCTTAGTTCACCAGTGAGGAGCATCTAACCAAACACTCTTCTGATCATGGTACAGGAAGAATGAGCATATTGTTATGCAAAGTCCAGTTACAGGTACATGGATGCTTACCAGGGAAGGTTTACCCATTCAAGGTGTGACAAACATGCTCGCTCTAGAGAGTAAGATGCTATGTGCAAGAAATATTCAGTCTCACCTCTGTTTCTTCACAAGGTTGGAAGGAGAAATGCTGCAGGATTCTGGTGGTAGCAAGTTTAATGTTCATAAGTGCAAACCTCATGCCAATGCAGCTCCTGGGTCCAGCCCCAAAGGGCAGGTATGTATATGGCTCAATGTTTTCCTTGTTTTTCTTACTGAACCTGTTGCCATAATAAGTAAAAGCAATTGAATGAAACATAAAAACCACAAGAGCTTCATGTCTGAGGTCTCACACAGAACCCCAGAACCATGATTATACAGAATAGATTTGCGGTCTTTTACTAAGATATTACTGCATTTATTTATTTGTGAGAATTATATGCTAAATTTACTTTCCACATCATTATATTTTGTAGTATATTCAAGCATCTGAGACCAGCAAGCAGGCAGCCCCAGCTGAACCACTTATTTGGGCTGTAACCAAAAGCAAATGTTGAGACCAGCAGCTACCTGGGCCTAGCTGGTCCACACAGGCTGAGTGCAGCCATAAGGACCCAAACACAGCAGGCACACCCAAGGGAGACACACCTGGTTGAGTTTGCAATTTATAGGACTCGACCTGGTGAACTGAGACATGTTGCTCAGCCCAAGGGGCTCAGAATGAGGACCAGTACTACAAGAGGATCCTCACAGAATTGAGGGGACAGGGGTAACTTGAGTGAAGTAGTCTGTCTAGAAAACTCCAAGTACAAGAGGGAAAGTTCTCACACTGAACTTAGGGGAACTAATTTAAATACAACTTCACAATTTAAGATCTATTTTGTTAAATAGCTTAATGTTTGCTTGTATGGTCTAAAGTACAAAACCAATAGTAACAAAAGTTTGTCAATTACTAAATTTCACGATCTGTTACTAGTATTGCTAATTAGACTACTGTAAATAGTAAACCACATCTGCCTTAACCACATGTTCTCCCTGGTGAAATAGCATTGGGAGACACTTGTGTAATAAACTCACCAAAGCCATATAGTGAATGACAGTGTCAAATGGAAAATAATATCCCTCTGTCAATCAATAAAGAAGGCAAAATCTTCAGACACACACAAAGCAAGAATTTCTGACACAGGAGAGATTCCTAATCAACTTCAACAACAGAATGTTTACAAAGAGGCTCTGATTACAGTGATACAAACACCTAATATCAAACCTTCTCAAAAATATCACAGAAATCAACATTAATTGTTCACTTTGAAATAGAAAATGGCAAAACAAAAGAGCTAAATGCAATCTCAGGCCCAAGCCTATCTACAACATACATGGGAGACATCAGCATGGAAGAAATTAAAAGTCACACAATTGAAAACTCTGAAACAATAGCAAACTGGAGTAAAGAAACAATTGCAGAAAGGTATAGAGGAAATCAGACCAAAAATAATCTCCTGTCCTGAAACAACCAGATAATCCAGGAGGAGAACATCTTGCCAGAGGGGCACAGCAGATGCACTTCCAAGGGCTGCTACAGGAAGAAGCTGAGCACAGCAGCCAGACAGAAGCCAGGCACAACTGTATGAATTGAAAATTCGTAGATCTGCACCCAATAATCTGATACACTTTGCTACACCCAGATCCGTAAGAGCATGCTGCCTCTTTCTCCCTTGACTGAGACAGGACAGAAAATGTAACGGGGTGAGCTAGTCTGCCTGGAACACACCAGGTACATCAAAGGGAGGTGATCTGACAGAACTTAGAAGAACTAACTTAAATAAAAATTCCCAATTTAATATCTGCTTAGCTATACAGAAATAATGGTGAGTCTTACTTCCAAACATACAAAGCAGACCCAGTCCTAGACCAGGCCCGGTGAATATGTTGGAGAGCTTCCTGCAGCCCTAAACTAGCGGGACCTACTAGTACAGGCCAGGTGCAGCATGGGTGAGACCATCTTCCACCCCCATGAGAAGCCCCCCAACGCTCCACAGCACCTCCTCTAACCCGCCTGCCGAGTAATAATTTCTGCCGCGTTCCAGAAACCCACAGACCCAGTCCTAGCCCAGGCCCAGTAAGTGTGTTGGAGAGCTTCTGGCTACCCTGTGCCAGGGGGACCTACTACTGGTTCCAGCCCAGGCACAGCATGGGAGAAACCAAATTCCACCCACTTGGGACTCCCCCTATCAATCCGTAGTACCCAAAAACAATTGGCACACACGGTAGGAATATCTGCCATGTTCCAGGAACCCCCAGATCCAGACCTAGCCCAAGCCCGGTGAGTGTATGGGAGAGCTTCCTCTCCACTCTACTCCACCTTGTACCTTCCAGGTTAAGCTTAGGCCTGACATAAAGGCCTGGGGTGAAGCCCTGCAACTGCAATCCCTTCAGAGAGTGCAGTGGAGAGAACCACACAGCTAGTCCAGGAGCAGAAAATCTTGCCAGAGGGGCACAACAGGTACACCCACAAGGGCAGCAACAGGAAAGAGCTGAGCAAAGCAGCCAAACTGAAGCCAGGCACAGCTGGATAAACCCAAACTTTGTACATCTGCACCTGAACGTCACTAGGTGCTAAGGTTATAATGGCAAGAAAGATCTACAAAAAAGGTCAGAAGATAGTGCTACACAAAATGACGAGAAGGAGCAAAATGCAAACTCAGAACCCGGGTCCACCCATAACAAGTGCAGAGGACACTAACACAGAACAAATTAGGAATCACACAGCTGAAAGCAATGAATCAACGGCTGCAGAAATACAAATAAAGCTGCAGAAAGGTATAGAGGAACTCACATTGCAAATAAAAAAAGAAATCCCTGAAAAAATAACATTCTCAGTAAAGAATTAAAAGCAGAAACATAAGGAGGAAACCCAATACCCATCCAGAATAAGTGAAGAGAACACAAGCTCGGCTCAAATGCATAACTTAATAGCGTCGATATTAAATAAGCAACAGCAGAACTTATAGAGGAATTCAGGGCGCAATTCTTTTCTAAAATAAAAGAAGAACTCTCAGAATTCATATCATCTGAAGTAAAGAAGCAACTAGAGAAGTATAAGGAGGAAGACCAATCTGAAAAAAACACTGCAGTAAAAGAATTTATAACTCCTTCTAAAGAAGATATTGATTAAAAAAAATAGGAGATTAGAAAAACAACGGATTCCTTGAATGAGAAATACAGGAAAGAAATAGACAACATGAAGCAGAGTCAAAGAGATATAGAGGAAATTAAACTCTCAATCACAAGCTTGTAAAACCTTTTAAGTGAAAGTAAAGACAAAGATCCAGATCTTGAAGATTTTGGTGGAGCTAGTGAAAAGGTAAGAAAGGATCTCTTAAAAACAACGAGGATGCAGGAAACGATAATCCATCACATGCTAGATGATGCAAAGATGAACAATGTGAGACTAATGGGCATCAATGACAAAGAAGGAGTCAATATAAATGACATTTAAAAAATATGCGCAGAAGTAATAGCAGAAAACTTCCCAAATATGAGGAAATAATCTGACATTCAGGTAACTGAAGCATACAGAACACCAAGTAACCTCAACTCAATGAAAAACAGACTGAGACATATAATCGTCAAGATCCCAGAAACTCAACAAAAGAATAATATACTGAAAGCCACTAGAGAAAAGAAGCAGATCACATTCAAAAGAAAACACATTAGAATTGCTACTAACTTCTCTTCAAAAACAATGCAGGCAAGAAGAATGTGAGCAGAGTATGTCAACTCCTCTATGAAAATAAATTCTAGCCTAGACTACTATACCCTGCAAAACTCTCTTTCAAGTTTGATGGAGAAGTGAAATACTTTCATGACAAAGAAGAGCTAAACAATTTCGGGATGACAAAGTCAACCCTACACAGGCTACTGAAAGTTGTTCTAGAGAGGGAGCAAAATGATCAGAGGTCAAAGAATGAGATCAGAAGCAACCAATTAAATAGGGCAAGCAAATAAACAGGAGAAAAAGGAGTAAATGACAACAGGTAAATAACATGGCAACCGTAAGCAAATACATCTCAATTCGAACCATCAATGTAAATAGACTCAATTCACCGATTAAGAGAAATAGACTGGCACAGTGAATTAGGAAAAAAATCCAAAAATATGCTGTATATAAGAAACACATTTAATTCATAAAGACATTCATAGGCTGAAAGTCAAAGGACAGAACACAATACTACAGGCCCCAGGACCTCACAAAAAACCAGGGAGAGAAATCCTATTCTCAGACAGTCTCAACACCAAAAAAACAATGATCAAGCGAAATAAAGAAGGCCACTATATGCTGGTTAGAGGAAAAATAAAAGAAGAAGAGGTGGCAGTCATAAATATGTATGCACCAAACACGGGAGCACACAATTATATACAAGTAAATTTTAATGGACATGAAAAATCTAATATCCAATACCACAAATTAACAAGAGAACATAAGAACCCTTATCTCCGAAAGATAGGTCAACCAGACAAAAACTTAGAAAGAAATAACAGAACAGAATCAGAGCTTGAAACAAATACAATTGGTGAACATATACAGAGTGTTCCACCCACACACAGCTGAATACACATTTTTCTCAGCTGCACATGGGTCATTTTCTAAAATAGACCACATA